AATTAGAATTGAAAAGAAACGTTTTTGCTTTTCGTCTGTTCTCTGGTTTCTAACGACGCTCTATATAAGAGCAAATACATTCTGAACGGTTTCAGCGACGGAGCTGAAACGATAACAAATATCGAAAACAATTATCAAGAATAATTTTTTTTCGAAAATGTACGGGGTGCGGCGGTACTTTGCAAAAAATTAAAAAATGGGTTATCCTTTCAAAGATGTAGGCTACAACTAGGAGGCTGTGCTTCAGTTGTCAGTTTCCTTAACGTAATCGTAGTGACTTTTTTGATTTAACCTTTCCACATATTGTACAGGGTGTTCGGGTTAAATGCGCTGTTATCAACTTCAGGCAGGAATGTAAAATTCTTGAACTTGGTTACGGAAGAGATCCGGGCCTATAACCTTTATTTCGACTTTCGATGGAACCATTGCACATGGCGGACGTTGCTCCTGCCCGGTTCCAAAATATTTATAGAAATCGGTCGAAATTAGTGTCGTTTAAAGATATTATTGTTACGTATAGTCGTTATCTGACGTGATAGAGACGTAGTGCCTATAAGTTTGGGAAATAGTGTTCGTCTTACGTGGATGTACACGGATTTGTGATGTGTAATTCCATGAGGTGTATGTAAATACGGTTTCCGAATGTCCTATATTCACGCTGGTAACCAGGCCGGATGGGATCGGATATCCCGTATAAGATGTTGTTGTTGTTGTTTTTGTATATGTTAAATAACCTGGAGGATGATGGATTGGTCCAGACCCTTCTCTTAAGAAGGCATTCTTTAGGATATCTGAATAATGTGAAAAATTGTGTAAGCTGGCCGAATGACCTTATGCAGTCGTGGCCATTAGAAGTAAAGAAGAAAGAAGAACCTTTATTTCAAGAGTTCTTGCGATTATATGCAGGGATTTCAAAAAAAAAATAAACTGAGGTGGCTTTTACTTGATGAAAATCCATTTAACAAAATAAATAAGAACTAAAAGTTCAGATTTTCAGGAAATTGTTTCGACAACACCCTGTCTTGATCAAATGTAATATTTGCAAACTACCTTAAAAAAAAAACCTTAATTAATGTTGTGAGAATTTAAAATTAATAATAACTGATCGTTAAGCGATACATTTGAAGGTCTCATTTTGTTAATCTCCATTGCTTCCAATAAATTTAATTTTATACTTTTTGTGGCTGTATGTAAATTATGAAAATTGTCGTCAAAAATGTGTTTTTCTCTGTTTAAGCGTGTAAACGCTGTTTTATGTTCGTTAATGCGTTTTTTGAAGCATCTACCTGTTTGTCCAATATTAATTTTAGGACAAGATGCGCATTTCAACCTTTCGACGGATTGTAGCCGTCGTGCAGTGCAATTTGTTTAATAATATTAAGTTCTTTGTTGTAATTTTATGTTGAGAGTGGCGTATTAAGCAGTCTGTGTATAAAAGAGTGAAATGCAGCCATTTTGTGTGTATAAGGGTTATCTCGGCCAACAAAGCAATAAGTGAGTTTCCTTCGAGATGTAAATCTAATAATTTTGGTCTAAATCTACTATTAAGCAATCTAATAGTGAGGGTCAGATATACTACATCTATCACACACATAGGTGCAATTTTTTTTTTGAATTTTTCAAGTATGGACAAAAATCTAAAGGGCTCTGTAAATTGCTGTTTCCCAGAGTCTTTCGTCTACCACATTCGGCGCTCGAGATATTTGAAAAAACACAAATGAAATTCACTATTTCTCGCCGTCAATCTAGACGCGATGACGTCATTTACTATTACCGCGTACTGCATGGTCTCAGAACACAAGTATTTTCTTCTTTCTACTTCGAACATTGTTTGAATTATATACAGGGTGTGTCGTTTAAAATCTGGTTTAATGAATAGTCTTTAATGTTCAATTAGGAAAGCGTTTGGGAGACAAAAAGCCGATTTTCAAAATTTTAAATGCAAAAATTACAAGGATTGATTTTCTTGAAGTATACGGGGTAACCCAAAAATTGCGTTAAAAAAAACATTTTTAAATCCAATTAACAATAAACAATTTCCCTTTTTAAATTAAGTGCAATATTAGGCACTTTCGTCGCACCCTGTATAACATACAGATATGGACCTAGCGACGCCGGCGCCGAGCGAAACGCGAACCTAGGAGACTTCAAGCCCGGACGTTTGAATATTGCAAATTTCAATTGGGCCGGACGAATGGCGATGTTAATTGTTAAATTTTCAGCGCCCGGGAGAATTTAAAAATTTACCCCCCGGAAGATATCCGGAGAAGGCCGGAGAATTGTTTATGCGATTGCGCGTTGTGAAAAAGTGAAGCTAAAAATAAACTTTTGAATGGAAATGGAAATTCGTTTTACTACAAAAATATATCAAAATAAACAAGAACTAAAAGCTACTATTAGGTCTCGATACAAAGCTAGAAGTTTGTCTTCTTTTAAATATATATCTTAGTAAGCTGCAAAAAAAAGTTGAAGTCTTCCAAGACGTGTCCGAAAAAATGTCGCAAATAACGCAAATTGAGTATAGAGCAGTCATAAAGTTTTCGACAAAAGAAGGATTAGCACCTAAAATTATTAAAGAAAGGCTGGATGGTGTGTACAGCCAAAGTTCTCCTTCGTAGTCTGTAGTGAAAGAATGGGCAAAACGTTTTCGAATGGGGCAGGAGTCCCTTGAAGATGATTCAAGAACTGGTCGTCCAGTGGAGGTCATAACGGAAGATATTGTTGCGATTGTGGAAGAGGTGGTATTGAGTGATCGGCGTTTAAATTTCAAGGAAATCTCAGCAATTACTAAGTTTTCTGATACAAATGTTCACTTAGGTATGCTTAAGGTTAGTGCAACATGGGTTCCTAAAAACCTTTCGGCTATTCAAAAACAACGCCGTGTCGAGTGTGCGCGGTCTTTTTTGGAACTCTGTGGGTCGGAACCGAAGCATGTGATAGAAACTATTGTGACGGGAGATGAAACTATGGTTCTCTATTATGACCCTCTATCGAAAAAAGAATCAATAGAGTGGCGTCGTAAGGGTGAAGCACCTCCAAGAAAATTCAGAGTCTGCCAGTAAACAAAAAAGGTGATGGCCACGATCTTTTGGGATTGTGAAGGAATTGTTTTGATAGATTCTCAAGAAAATAATACCACTGTCAATGGTAAATGTTACGCAATATTATTACATAAATTGCGAGATTGCATACGTGTAAAACGTCGAGGAAAACTGACCAAAGGCGTGCGTCTTTTGCACCTGTCCATACTGCCGGTGTTGCACAAGCTGCCATTTTAGAGTGTGGGTTCCAACAGATAGATCATCCTCCCTATAGCCCAGATATGGCCTCCAGCGACTATTATTTGTTTGGATATTCGAAAAAGGACTTACGTGGACGGCAGTTTAACTACGAAGTTGAGTTAAAAGAGGCTGTGTTAGCTCGTTTTGCAGACAAACCAAAAGAATTTTTTTTTAATTGTTAATAAAGAGATGTAATAAGTGTATTAAAATTAACACAAGCAGTCTCTTCAATTTCGCTATATTGAGTCGATTTTTGTGAAATACAAGTAGAAATTGCATTTGATCTAAATAAGTAAGTATCCCCAAAGCTCCTGGAAGTCCTTCGCAATACGGAAAACGAAAACCGACCGGGATAGCTTCAGCTTTCCGTGGTCCATTAGCCTCGAGTAACGGAAAAGAACAACACCCCATAAATAATGAAATAGAAGTCGCAAAGTAAACCGAGGCTTTCTACGTTAACCGCGTCGAGACTTTCCCAAAGCGGTTTTCAATTAACGCGTGTTTTGATTCCAAATAGGCCGCCATTTTGACTCCGCTCATATTTGTTTAACGCTCCTTACTCCCGACATCTTGGGGATCCAAGAAGCCACTCCTTCGCTTTTGTCGTTTAAATTAATTATTTAGTTTTTCCAAAATTAGTTCAAGTTAACTCTAGTTTATCTGGATTTGCAGCGGCAATTTAGATTAATTAATGCAATTGAGTCTACATTGTTTAAATAAATAATAATTAATTTAATCAAGCTTGAATAATTTGAAATTAAATTTAATTAAATTATATTAAAACGACGCAATTCAGTTTAATTCGCGCAAATCAGCTGCAGTTGATTTGATCTCATCTGAGGGAAGTAAGTAATTATCTTAGATTAAACTAAGAAAACTGGAATCAATAAAATAAATTCATCGAATCGAACTTAGTAATTAATTAAATTTTCTCAACCCTATGAAATTTAATATAATTCAGCATATATATCTGTAAATTAATAATAAATAAAATCCGATTTTTTTATTTATTACAAACAATTCGCATAATAACAATTATAATTATTACAAGCAAAGATTAGAAAATAATAAAATTAAAATAAGAGAAAAACACTATTGATATCTCATAATTTTATTAAATTAACATAATATAATTTGAACCATTCAATCAAATTAATCTAAACTAACTAACAGGCATATTAGAATTAATCACAGTTAGGTCAATTGAGATAATTTGAATTTAACAAATATAAATTATTCAGTTCAAGTGAACCAAAATTTCCTCCCATCAAGTTTAATTAAATTAAAACAAATTTATGTTAATTAATTAAGCTTGATTTACTCAAATTGGACTAATCGCATCTTGAGTTAATTTGGATTAAATTTAATCACTTAATGTTGTTAATCGGGTTTAATTCAATTTGAACTTAGGTCAATTGGTCTCGATTAGATCCAGTCAATTTAAATGAAATTAAATTAATTAATGTTGTTAATTGAATTCAACTGAATCTGAATTTTGATCGCTTGATTAAATTGAGTAAATTTGGATTAAATTAAATAATTTTATGTGTTTTATGTGAATCGGTTTCTGTTAAATCATTTCAACCAGATTTTAGACAAAAAAATGTGTTCGGGATAAAACCCTGCCGCTAAAGCGGGTTTTAACTCCCGGACTTATTTCGACGAACGTGTGTGGCCGACTTTATAACGATCCAGTTTTTTTTTCACCTCTCGTTCCAGGTCAGCGGCAAAACAGCTCAGAAACAACAAGCCATGACGTCGGGACGTTTATCTGTAACATGACCGTCCATTCAACGGATAATGTCGGAGAATAATGCGACGAGATAATGTAATGGAGGTAAGGAAATGGAACCAGGGGTCGGGGTGGCTTTGAAAAATCTTGTTATTTCCTCTCGGACGGCACGATTGTTTCCCCTTACGTGAGTTTCTCGTTTTCTCGGGCCGTTCGTTAAAAGTTTCGGCTCGAAGCGCGCAAAAAAAAAAAAATTAAATAAAGACCCCGTCTTTAGCAATTAAAAGTTGAGGAAAAAAGAATGGCTACACCAAGGGCTTCGGCAATTAAAAATGAAAAAAGCAAAGAAATAATTAAGTGGTTTTGGGTAGAACTGTATTCTTCGACACTTCAGATGGTTCAAAAATTGCACATTGCCTTTTTTCATTAAATCGGGCAAAATCAATTTCATATTTCACGTGAATTGGCACAAAATGACCGCATGAATCGGCATAAACTCGTCCACACGGTTTTTGATAAAAGTGTCTTTTAGACTACTTCGAAAGCTTAAAAATTTTTATTTCTTATTTTTATTAAATTAAGAAAAAATAGCTTTATTTTCTACACGTTCTTTAATGAAGCACAAAGTTGTCTACAGGGTGAGACATACAATTTTTTGGTAAAAGTGCTTTTTTTGAAAACTTCGGACGTTTAAAGATGTTTCTTTCTAAGTGTTGTTAAAGAGAGCAAAATTAACTTTATATTTATTTTTTTGACGGCCCAAAAGGTCGTCTACAGAGTGAAACATACAATTTTTTGGTAAAAGTGTCTTTTTAGACCCATTCGAAAGTCTAAAAATTTCCATTCCTTATTTTTATTAAATTAAGGAAAATTACCTTTATTTTAAACACGTTCTTTTAAGAGGTACACAGTTGTCTACAGGGTGAAACATACAATTTTTTGGTAGAATTGTATCTTTCGACACTTTGGATGATTCAAAAATTGCACATTGCCTTAAAGGTGTCTTTCTCGACGTTTTCCGAAAATTTATGAATTTCCTTTTCTTAGTCGTACTAAATAGTGAAAAGTTAGTTAAAAATTCGAAACATTTTTAACTTACATTTATTTGGTAAAAGTGTCTTTTTTAGCACTTTCGAAAGAAAAAAAGTTCTCATTCCTAGTGAAGTTAAACAGAGCAAAGTTAGTTTCATATTTCGCATATTTGTGACCTGCTACAAAATCGTCTACAGGGTGAAACATACAATTTTTTGTAGAAGTTACTTTTTGGATACTTTCGTAAGTTTCGAAATTTCTCCTTCTTAGTCGTATTTAAGAGAGCAAGGTTATCTTCATAATCCACACATCTTTAACGTCGCAAAAAATAGTCTACAGGATGAAACACACAATTTTTTAATAACAATTTCTGTTTAATCAAATTCGAAAATTAAAAAATTTCTCATTCGAAAACAGGGCAAAATTAGCTTCATTTTCCACATAATTGTGACCCGTGACATTTTCGAAAATGTATGAATTTGAAATGAAAAAGTTAGTTTGGAATTCTAAACATTTTTAACGCCCCAAAACGTCGTCTACAGGGTGAAACATACAATTTTTTGGTAAAAGTGTCTTTTCAGACCCATTCGAAAGTCTAAAAATTTCCATTCCTTATTTTTATTAAATTAAGGAAAATTACCTTTATTTTAAACACGTTCTTTTAAGAGGTACACAGTTGTCTACAGGGTGAAACATACAATTTTTTGGTAGAATCTGTATCTGTAATTTTGTATTAAAAGTTTCTGTTGTATCACATTCGAAAGTTTAAAAATTTCTCCTTGATAGTGATATTAAACGGAGCAAAATTGGCTTCATATTCCGCATAATTGTGATCCGCTACAAAATCGTCTACAGGGTGAAACATGCAATTTTTTTATTAAAAATGCCTTTTTAATTCCTTTCGAAAATATGAAAAGTTTTCAGTGCTAGTGAAGTTAAACAGAGCAAAGTTAGCTTCATATTCCGCATATTTGCGACCCGCCACAAAATCCTCTACAGAGTGAAACATACATTTTTTTTGTAAAAGTTGCTTTTTGAACACTTTGGTAAGTTTCGAAATTTCTCCTTCTTAGTCGTATTTAAGAGAGCAAGGTTATCTTCATAATCCACACATCTTTGACGTCGCAAAAAATAGTCTACAGGATGAAGTACACAATTTTTTAATAAAAATTTCTGTTTAATCAAATTCGAAAATTAAAAAATTTCTCATTCAAAAACAGGGCAAAATTAGCTTCATATTCCACATAATTGTGACCCGTGACATTTTCGAAAATGTATGAATTTCCTTTTTTTAGTCCTATTAAATAAGGAAAAGTTAGTTTCAAATCTAAACATTTTTAACGCCCCAAAACGTCGTCTACAGGGTGAAACATACAATTTTTTGTTAAAAGTTGAACAGACCAAAGTTGGCTTTATATTCCGCATATATGTGACCTGGTAAAAAATCATCTACAGAGTGAAACCTACATTTTTTTGTAAAAGGTACTTTTTGCAGACTTTCGTATATTTAAAAATTTCTCATTCTTAATCGTATTCAGCGTATTTAGAGAGTATAACGCCGCAAAAAATCGTCTACAGGGTGAAACAATTTTTTTAAGTGTCTTTTTTTATCACTTTCGCAAGTTTTTGACAAATTTTTGACCCGGTGCAAAATCGTCTACAGGGTGATACATGAAATTGTCAACAGTTGAGTAATGAGTTACAGCTCGTCAGTGTCGCACGTGAAATTCCCCCCGCCCCTCTCTCGAAAAATAACGAAATCGAACGAGACGTCGTCGCTTCCCGGCGTTAAAAAAGCTCCAATTTAAAACTACGCGCGCGCCTGCGAGCGCCCGCAGGAGCGACATCAATCAGGATCGTTTTGATTCGAACGAATGTTCGGGGCATTAATAAAGACGTCGGGACCGCCCAAATTGACTTCCCGTTTCTTCCACACGCTCTTCCACGGCGACGTAACATTTGAATGGAATTTGCTCGACAAAGACGCACTTGAAAACTTTATTACGGGGATGGGGCTTTAAAGCGGGCAGCAATTTTTTTTTCCTTCGAAAATATCGCATAGGGCGTATCCGTCGACGCGACTGGGTTAAGCATTCCACAGGCTCGCGTGGAGGAAGAGGTTTTTCTCATTGTTGATCTACTAAATTATCTAAAAAAAATTATAGACCTATTTTGTTCTGCTGTAATAAAAGCCTGTCTTGAAAGTAATAACTTACAATTATAATAATAATCATAATTTTTATAAAACTTCTGGATTCTTCATGCGTCAGTTTTTGTTGACTCGAACTTGCTAACGTTTCGCCAATTATCCTGTTGCCTTCTTCAGAGCTTGACCGAAACTGTTTCAATTCGTGTCCAACGTCCGACTGTGCCGGCGGGCTCAAACAAACGACCTTTATAAACGGTTGACAAAATTGCCAGCCATGTTTTCCCGTCATTAAGCGAGCCACTTTGTAAACAACCCCCGGGCATTCATACCTATAGGCTACTTGTCCGCCCATGCCACCGCTCCCGTTGTAGTTTAAAATTTCGCTGGACAGTTAAATTGAATTTTGTCCGGGATGATCCCGGACGGCGTTTTATTTTTTCAACATGGGTGCCGTAACGCCGGTGTTTCATTTTGGAATTCGAAAAGCGAACTTAGAATCATATCTCTTTCGTGTCAAAGATACTAGGTAACCTTGGTTAAATTGAATTAAATAAAATTAAAATTATTAATTGAATTTAATTTGATCATAACTAAATTAAATTATTAAATTTAATTATTTATTCAAATTTACGTAAAATAATTAAATTAAAGTTCTTATTTAAATCAATAATTAAAATAAAATAAAATTTAACTTAATTTACTAAATTAAATAAAATACAAATATTAACTATTTGAATTAAATTTGTTAAATAGAATGAAACCTCAGTCCTTGATGTAAACAAACCAACGTATGTTTTTGTCTCTCTGAAGAGAGAAGAGATTCGTAAATACAAACAACTATCTAACTGACCGTTATGGCTAGTATCGGTAGTTTAAAATCGCTTTAATCTGAGAATCAGAAAAGATACTACTTAACATTGATTTTTAAACCTTTAATTTTTCAATTCCGGCGTTCCGGCTCTGGATTTAAAAATATCGTTTTTGGTTTATAAGCCTAACTTAAAATTTTCTTTCATTTAATAAGCAGGGTTTGATATTATGGAACCTCAAACTTTGCATTTCTGGGAATTGGCTCCTCTATTTGAATTTATTTTCCTATAACTTCGGAAAATAGATAGACCGATGCACTTTTGTGATTTTTGATCGTTGACAAATAGATTTGTCCACGGAGACAGATATGTAAAGAAATTTGCCTTTTTCCACTTCTTCGTCAAAACTCCCCTCTAATATATATTTTTAAATTTGAAAATAATCTATTTAGAGTGAGTCAGACAGAGTGAGATTGTATATTCGAATTTCTTTCAAATGATAAAAATGAACAGGAATTTATTTATCAAAAACAAATATGGCGCCAAATATACCCCCTCCATCTTAAAACAAATTAAATTAATTAAAATGATTTTGTTAAATTCAATTAAGTTAAATTAATTAAATTCAATTTGTTTAATTAAATTTAATTTAATTAACTAACCAAAATGAAACAAATTAAGTTAAGTTTGTTAAATGTAACAAATTAAATTATAATTGTTGTATTAAATTAATCAGCTGAAATTAATTGACAGATTCATTGACTTCCTCGTTGAAACTTACACAGGAAAGGTATGACACTTAAAATGATGACATTCAAATTAAAAACTTTTTTACTCGCTGATGGTAGAGAATTATCGAGCCATTTTTTGACGGGTTCGAACGTAGTCATTTTGTTAGTAATGGTATAATGGTATAATGGTATAATTCTGTGAACACTATAGCCAAACAATAAATTAAATTAAAAAATATATTTATGAAGGCTCTACAGCAAGAATGTTTTAATAACTCTATGATTACCCCATTGGTGAAACAAGATTTATTAGATTGCTTAATAGTATCTTTAGACCAAAATTATTTTGAATTTAATGGACAGATTTACATCTCTAAAGAAGGT